TGTTGGTGAATATGCAATAAATAAAGAAGCTCCTCTTCTCAAGAGTCTGGCCAAGGACCTGTCCTGTCGGCACAGAAACTGGAAGGAGAGCTGATGCCTGTCAGCTGAGCCTGGGTGAGCAGCTGGCTCTCAGAATACTCGTTGTGACTAGGATAGGACAACCTGGAATTGCTGCTCTTTTCAGGTAGGGATCAGTTCCCAATGTCTGCCTTTAGTCTGCAGTGCTGCACGTGGCTCCTCTGTGATGGGAGGGTTGTTACCTGAGTTCCTTATGAGAAGGAGCCTGTATCAACCTGTATTAGGGGCTGCTGATGGTCTCTTAAAAAAAAAATAAATCTGAAGTGGATCTTCCTGCCATGGCAGCACAGTGTTTTGTCACCAAGAATACAGAAGCCCAGTTTTCTGGAGAAGTGATTAATCTTGGAGACAAGAGAGCATGAGAAGTTAGAGCTGAGAGCTACCTGCTGCTGGGTCACTCCTCTGGATAAGAAGGAAAAGGGCTTAAGCCGTGGAGGGGGTGTCTCAAGTTGAGTTTCAAGCTATAATTTTACTTTTGGGGATCTATTAAAATACCTGGTTTTACTTCACAAATCTAAAAAGGCTTTTTTGGTTTTGGTTTTATTTTTGTAGTAATTATAAAAACCTACCCTTCATAAAGACCTGCAAGTCTTAACTGTTGAAAAAGTCAAAGGAAATATGTGGATGATGCTCTTCAGCAGTTGGAGTGAGAGCTGTGACAGCTTTTTGACTTTTTCCACAGTTGCAACGGTACCCACTAGGATGGCCCATGCTTTTAATCACTCCTGGGCAACTCCCCATGCAGGTTTTGGGACCTTTTGGAGGTCAGCTGCTCTGCCCTGCGGGGCTGCGTGTTTTGGGATTGACTGGGCAGCCTTCTCCTCAGCGCAGTCCTTCCAGATGCAGAGCTTGCAGCGTTGCATGCAGTTGGCAGTGGCTGGAGTTTCTTTCCCGGGGTTGTAGCCTGTTGCTGGTGTGTAAGTAAGAGCTCCATCAGGGATTTCACACCCTCTGCCAGGCACTGGAGGAGCAGAATAGCCAACATACCCTGTCTGGCGAGAGAAACTGAGAAGTGGTGGAAATTACCACTTTTCTGTTTCCTTCCCAGCTGGCTGCCCTTATCCTTCAGTCAAAACCAGTGCTTACTGCTTGGGTTGCACCAGGGACTGTACAGTGTCACCTCTGTCCCAGAGACCTCTGTGATTTTTGTCCTTTCGCTCAATCTGATAGTCTTCTAGGAAAATGCTGCCGTTGCGATGAGGTAACGTGTCGTACAGAGCCGGCTCTCCGCGGCTTTGTTTTCCTGTGGCACAGCAGAATCGCTGGAGCTGTGGGTGCCTGAGGAATTCACCTCCATGCACTTAAGAAAAACCAAATTGTTTTGAAAACAATGTTACTGAAGTGTCTCCTTACATGCTGGGGTGCTGCATTAGACGCCTCTTCCTCACTTTGCGCTGCGCTGTCGTGTGCTGAGAGCATCGGGGCGAGGAGAGCAGGCGTGGGGGCAGCTTTGCCCGTGGGCGTCGGTGGGCTCCGCGCTCACCCGTGCCCTGGGGTGAACTTGTTCCTTTTGCTTTGTGTACTGGAAACATGAGAACTCTATTTTTTGGACAACGAATTTCTAAGCAGTCTTATAAGGGATTTTTAAATAAAAAAAATAAAATAAAATAAAAAGGTGCAAGAATGAGTGCATGTTTACTTGCCCCAGATCAAAGGTTTTGAACACTAAGGTCACTATCTGTTGAATGGACCCTCCTCTTGGCGCTCTTCTGTCTTCGGGCAATGGAAGCTCTTGCTCTTTTCCTCTTACCAGTTTTACTGTAACTATACTTTTTCCCCCTAGGAGAAATATATATACAAAAATTGTAAGCAATTAAATGCTCAAGCCATAAAATCACGAGTGCGGGAAGACCCTCTTCACAAGTTTTAACGTTTGTATGTAAAATGATGTTTGTATGAAATATTTTCATGGTAGAATGAATATTTAAACAAAAAAAGTTCCAGTAAGATCTAAACCAAATTTAAAAGGATGTCTTTTTGTAAGACACACGTGTAATTGAATACCAGTAAGTAGATAATTATTTTTTTAAGGGGAGATGCAACAAATGATCCTTAGAATTACAAATGGTCGTTTCTGCTATTTGGGAAAGTATTTATGCAGCATTACAAGCAGCTGCCATAAATAATTGCAATAGCAAGGCTAGTCACATATTCAAGACATACCTCTCAGCTTGTCCCTTCATGATATTGTACAAACGACCCATCCCTCCTTTCTGCAGATTCCCTCCTAGAAAACTTTTCCTACTGTAACTGTAATGAATTTAACTCTGAGCTAAGATCCAGACTAAAATTGTGTATTACTTAACAGTTTCTGCTGGGCCTTCTGCTATTTTAATACTCTTTAGCCCATAATTACTGGGTGTCTCTGTTCTGAAGAACTAAGTGCTAAAGAATAATCTTTGGGGTAAGCTTATACACGTGTTAGCAGTTAACCCCGGAGTATTTAACTTGTATACAGTACTTGATAGGTGTTTTATGACATTTGTACTCGAACTATGAGCCTTACCGAACATCTGTAGGTTTATTCATGACTTTTAAAAATGGATAACTCTAAGAAAGATGTTTACATGAATGATGATTGCCCTTCCTTTGATGTTATGAATGAGGTTTTTATAGTGTGTTTGGGCGTATGTGCAAGGAAGCAAGAAAAGTGTTTCTGGGGAAAAACAGACTTGACAAACATTTGTAATAAGTGAATTTTAAAGATTGCTTTAATTGCGCTATGAAGGCAATGCAGATATTAAAATATTCAACAAAAAAGTGTTGTCTCTCCTTGTTATTTGCGTGTCGCATTTTTGGGCATCCTCTGACCTCTCTCCCTGGCTTCTGTGTGCTGTGTGGCCATGGTTGTTGCTGATGGAGGGGAGCAGGATTTCACACAGTTAGCACACATCTAGGCCATGTTATATAAATAGTGAATGAAAAGCAGAACACTCCTGACACCACTGCTTTGGGTTTTTTCCTGGCACCTTTGCTGCTTATTCACTTCCCTCTTTTTCAATGCATGTAACATGGGCTTCAGTTGTGCTGTGGTTTGGAAGAATATCCTCCTTGTATGTGCCAAAGTGTCTTTAACAGTTGTATTTTAAGACACGTGAATGTGCACTGGTATGTTTTTCTGTGAGGCAGTCGGATGTGCAGCAGCCGTGCCTTCCAGGCAGGTAAGCTACTCCTCTGTCTCCTAATTCCATGTACACATCCTGCTGGGTGAGTGGTGAGGAAAGGGACAGCACTTTCAGTGCTGCCCTGCCTTCCTCAGTGCTTCAGTGCCTGCTTTGCTGCCCTCTCTGATCACACTTGCTGTGATCTTGGCCTCTCATGCCTATGTGCAAAGGCTGTGCCCTCCCCTCTCTACAGAGGGGATGTTTGGACCCCCTGTAGGGTCAAAGATGCAGAAAGGACTTGTTTGGCCTTGACGTTGCCCCTTGAACCTTCACAGTCCTCAAGCTGGAAGGATCAGTGCTTGAGGTGTATTTGCAAGCTGTGTGGGAAATGACACTGGGATTGTGGACGGTGCCATGGGCTGGCTTCACCCAAACTGGCTGTGTTCCAGTCCTACGCTGGCGTAATAACCCAGTACACGGTGGAGGTGCAGTGGGTTTATTTAAAGAAATTATCCCTAACCTGTGAATTGATTTCTTAAAAATGTTTAAGGGGTAGGTAGGCTTTAGTGCTGTGCTTGCTAGGATTTGGCTGGAGGTGCTTGGGTGGGATAGAATCATAGAATCATCCAGGTTGGAGGAGACCCTCAAGATCATCTAGTCCAACCATCCCACCCAACACTACCACTGTAACCCCCAAACCACTAAACAATATTACCCAATGGCAGATGTCTCAGACACCTCCAGGAATGGTGACTCCCCTACCTCCCCGGGCAACCTTTTCCAGTGCCTGGCCACCCTAACAGTGAAAAAAAAAATTTTTAATATCTAATCTGAGTCTCCCCTGTCTCAGTTTAAGGCCATTTCCTCTAATCCTCCCACTGCAGGCACAGTAGAAGAGACCGACCCCACCTCACTACAGCCTCCTTTCAGGGAGTTGTAGAGAGCAGTGAGGTCCCCCCTGAATCTCCTCCAGGCTAAACAAACCCAGCTCCCTCAGCCCTTCCTCATAAGACGTTTTCTAGACTCTTCACAAGCCTTGTTGCCCTTCTCCGAACACACTCCAGCGCCTCAGTGTCCTTAAGTGAGGGGCCTAAAACTGAACACAGTACTCAAGGTGTGGCCTCGCCAGTGCCGAGTACAGGGGGATGATCACTTCCCTGGTCCTGCTGGCCACACTATTGCTGATCCAGGCCAGGATGCCACTGGCCTTCTTGGCCACCTGGGCACGCTGCTGGCTCATGTTCTATCAACCAGCACCCCCAAGTCCCTTTCCGTTGACCAGCACAGGTTCTTGTGCTCTTTCCAATGGAGAGCAGGCACTGATGTGCCAGGGGAGCCTTTGCCTGTCAGTCCAAACAAACTGATCTCGTAAGTCATTAACATTACATATAGAGAGGGTTTCATGGAATCTTACAATCACAAAATGGTTTAGATTGGAAGGGGACCTTAAAGATCATCTAGTTCCACCCCTCTGTCATGGGAAGGGACACCTTTCACTAGACCAGGTTACTCAAAGCCCCATCCAACACTTAAACACTTCCAGGGATGGGACATCCAACAAACTTTCTGGGCAACCTGTACCGGCTTCCCCAACGCACAGTATTGCGCACGTGTGTGCCGTGTGAAGCAGCACTTAAGGCTGCAGCGGGGGAGGGGGGGGGGGAACAAACCAAGTTGCTGTAGAGAAGGGATGGGTGGAGTTCCCGGTCCCGGCAGCTCAGGAGTGCCCGGGGCAGCCCGCGGTCCCGCCCGGGGCCGGGGCGGGGGCGGCCGCTCCCCGCGGAGGGCGAGGCGAGGCGGGCGGAGCAGGATCAGCCCCGTCCCTGCACAGCTGTCGGCCGGCACTGCGGAGGCTCTCCCGGCCTCGCCGGGCTCTTTTCGCCCGGATAACACTCGGGACTCTTTTCCCCCCGGAAGCGGAGCCGGAGTTTTCCCGGTCCCTGCCCGGCGAGTCCCCGCCACAGGTGAGCGCGCGGGGCGGAGCGGCGCCTCCCGGCCGGCGGGACCGGGACGGGACGGGACGCGGGAGGACACGGGACACGGAGCTGGAGCCGCCCCCGGACGGGACGTTCGGTGACTGGAACTAGCGAGGGGAGAGAGCTGGAGCTCTGCACTGGCGCCTTCCTGGAAAGGTGCGGAGCTTAACTTCCAAATGGAACAGAACCCAGGCACCGCCGCGCCTCTCGGGGCAGCAGAAACCCCGCAGGGCAAAGGACAGCCGTGAAGGTGACGGTCGCACCTTCCTCTCCGGCAGCGTCAGGAGCGGTGTCCCAGGCACCTGCCAGGCAGCACGCCCAGGGATTTCCCAAAGGGCCGCTCACCTTTGGTCGCTGTCACCGCTGGCTCAGACAGATGAACTCTGTACTCCTGGTACAGGTCCTGCGCACCAGCCGGTGCCCCCCGGGTGCTGATGCTCCTGTTCCTTCTCTCTCTCTCCCGCCTAGGAAAAGCTGTTCTTCCTCCCCTGGAAGGCCACAGCGCCGCTCTCCAGCCTCCGTGATTTATGTGTGACTCGGAGCAGAATGGATCGCTATCGATACTTCATCTTCAACCAGAAGAATATGGTGGTGCTGGGGATGTTCCAGATAGCCCTCAGCACGGTGTGCGTCGTCAGCGGGTTCATAGATGGCATTTTCAGAACAGAGTCTCAGCTGGGCAGAACCAGAGCTCCAATTTGGGCTGGGATGGTAAAGTTGTACTATAATTTCTATGCTTTTTTCCCCCCCACACTGCTATCTTCTAGCACTCATATTGGGAGTGGGAGGGAAGCCAGGATTTCTTTCCAGCTCTTCCCTGGTTTTCTGCTTTGAACCCAGTTAAAGTTTCCTTATCATGATATAGGCAGAAGAGTGCAAGCAGACTTCCCTCTGAAGGAGCTAAATTAAATTCATTTCTACTGGATAATGTAGGAAATGGGGCATAGTGACAAGTGACAGGGGGTTTGTTGCAGAAGCATAGTGACCACAGAGAAGCCACCAAAGATGAGGAGGGGAACACTTCATCCTCACATCAGGTAGATGAACATCTGGGTGATGATCTGTGTCGCACAGCACAGTGCCCCTAATCCTCTGTGCTGCAGCAGGGAGCGGGCAGTGGAGGTCCCTGCTCCCTGGCATTCAGGACCCTAATGTTACCCTGCTGAGCCACACTGTAAGGAAATTGTGCTGAAGAGCTCTCTTCAGTCCAGAGGCTGCCCATCTCCTTTCAGTAATTTCTTTCTTTCCTCTGCAAAAGGCGTGTGGACTTGGGAAAGCAGCACACATTTTTAGCACTTTAAATCAGCCTTATTCCATCAGTTTCATTATTTGGCCAGAGCCATAAAGCTCCAGTCAGAGGTAGCAAGGCCATGGGGGAAGCAAGTGGGCAAGATGCATGTCACACATGGCCTGGAGATGCTGCAGAGGAAAAACAGAAGAAATGAGCAATTCTCTTCCCAGAGTAACCCGACAGTTACTCTGATCCAAGCCTTGAAAACAAGGACTTTTCATCTATGCTGTAGTAGTTTATCTTAGGAATCTGATACTGGTCTCCCAGTTACCAACTCCTTTTGTACTCTGCAGGTGATGGGAGTCCCAGGCGTGCTGGCTTTGTTCTCCTCTCAGAGGAAGAATCCAATCCTTGTAAGCTGGAGGGGCGGATGGGTGGTTGTGTGTGTATGGGGCAGGGGCAAGATGCTGGGGCAATCGAAAACTGAGTAGGGAGTGAGCTGACTGGTCCTTCTGCAGGATTAAGAGCCCATTTCTTTGAGTTATCTGCAGAAGAGCTGCTGTGTTCATAAGCAAAAGGAGGATGCAGTGTTACCTCGCTTTCTGCTGCAGCAGACAGGCACTGGGTCTAATAACAAGCAAAAGTCTGTAAAAGCACTTGGTTTTGAGTGCTTTTCTTTTGGTGGTCCTTCATGTTGTTAAGGACTGTTTACACTAAAGTAGGAAACAAAGGCTTGCACTTCCCAGGCAGGTCTCTCCAGCCATGCAAACTCCAAGGGGGGGGTATTGTATGTAAATACAAGATCTCTAAGGACAGAGTCTTGGGGTAGCACCTGTGATTAAGATTTGGCACTCAGCTGTAGCTCACAAATTCGGTATCCTGGAAACCTTTACTGCTTTGTGTTTGGCTTCCTAGTGACTGTTGCTATTGGGTACTTGTTGTGTTATGGGAGGTCAAAGGTTAGTAATTATAATGCTTGTTAGTACATTTGCAAGAGGATAGCTTTAATTCTTTTTCTCCCTAAAATTCTCTGTCTAGGTGAATGTACTGATAGTTGCTTCCATAATCTCTTGTGTTGCCATCCTCATCGTAATAGGTTATAGCTCCTTCACACTGAACTATGGTGAAGAGGAGGAGCTGAGTTCTGCCCCAGTCCATGTTATCCATACTGTAAGTATTGATATCATGATAATTTCCGGGGAACTAGACACCCTTAATCTTCAAACAGTACCAGGCACAAGTTATAGACGGAACCAGACTTCCAGGAGGTGTGCACACTAGGCCAGGTTAGCTGCTATCGCTTCTGAGTGCAAAAGGGTGTGGATTGAGCCATGAAAAAATACTGGTGCTGCTCATGAAAAGGTGCTGACTGCATTCCTGACCTGGTTTGGGACAGCAATTGCTAGGCTTGAATCCTTTCCAGCATGCACTTTAGGTGATAAAGTTACAGCAGTTACAGGTCAACTGGTTAAACCTGGGTATTATTTCAAGTGTATCCTCCTCAGTAAAGCTGAAGAGAAGGAATGAGTTAGCCCTTTTATGCCTCAAACCTGGCACAAGCAATGGCTCTCTGTGGGGGTGAAGGCATCCCAGGTGGATGAAGCTGACCATTAGTTTATTGCAGGACAAATCAAAATGTGGGGCTGCTAAGGTGCAGGACAGCAAGAAGACATTTCTCATTTTCAGTGTGAAGAAGAGCAGCCATTCCTTGGGTTTCTACTCATGGTTAAAGCTGTTTCCTTATTTTACTCCTTGTTCTGTTTGAGGGTCGTACTTGGCTTGTCCTTCAGAACACAGAAAGAAAAGCCTTTAATAACACTGACTACGAATCAATCTCCTACGATGCAATCTCAGCATTCTTGCAGTCATTAGATTATTTTTGGTGGAGAGTTTCACTTTTTGAATGTGGCTTTAACATCTCCTTTTCTATTTGCAGAGGTTCGTACTCAGTAAGGTGGTCAAGGGTGCTAACATAGCCATGCTGGCTGCATCTATCTGCAGTGCCTTTTTTGTGCTGGCCATGGCTTACTTGGGATGCCGGAGCCTTCCACGCTGCGCCTGCTACGACAGTGTGACTGGGATGGTGAGTGAGGAGACCAGGGCACAAGTTTATTTCTAATGAGGGTGGGTGGGAGGGGGAGAAGCTGGGGAGAAGATGTGTTTTACTTCTATAAACCTAGTCTCAGCTTTACCTCAGTCATCCAGGGCTAATTCTAAGAAATTAGGTGGATGTTAGAAGACGTTTATACTTAATTTGTTTTTTTTACTACCTCCCTCTTATTTACAGTCTAATGTAAGACTTAACATAAGTTGTCTCTATTTTCCAAACCATTTTTGCCACTGTAGCCCCAATTCCTATGAATTCCTCAAAAACTGCTCCTCTCACCCTTAAACCAACAATTGCTCCTGGTACAGCATTTCAAAGACTTACTGGTACTTACACACTAGAACTTCAAATTCAGTAATAAAAATATCTCCTGTACTGTGTGTGAAGTGTAGGGGGGATGATGACATGCCACATTTACTGCTGATTTATAAGGACTCTGCCTCAAGTGATGGGACACACACTGTAGGTCTCTGCTAAGTGAGCTCAGTAAATACCAGCTGCTTCTCTGCTTGAGTAATTCTATGCTGTGTTATTAAACATCTGATCATCTGATTTGGTAAGGAAATAATGGGTCCAGGCCACAAGGCAGCTGTCCTTGACTAAAGGCACTGAGTGGGTAACGTGAGGTTGCTGTAAACTTTCAAGCTAAAACTTGTTAGGAGACATTTAAAAGGAATTCCGGTGTATCTTGAACAAATTCACAGATGAGGTATTTGATGGTGCTGTTTCTTTCACAGGAATGGTTGCAACCTACTGAGGACCAAAATCAGGCTGTGGAAATGGTTTGTGCTGTACAAAGTGAGTACCCCAGGGATGTGGAAGGAACATTCTGAAAAAGCTTTACATCCCAGGCCAAAATCCTGATAACCAAAACAGAGCCAAAAGGAACTCAGGATTTTGTGCAGGTTTAATGGTTTCCTCTTTCCCTCCCCACACAGGCCCTGGGGGCAGAATTTTTAACTTCCCAGATCGGTTTCCAGCCCAGGATGTGGATGCAGAGGAAGACACATCCAAACCTCCACCATATATCAGACTGACTTGAGAAAGTGGTTGAACATTTTGTTCAAACGTGGCAAGAGAGATGTAACAAGCTCTTAATCTTTAAAGATGGTTATGCACTTTTCCTTGGCCTCTTGAAAAACACACACAGGAAGAGAGAACTATTGAATGCCAAACATTCACCAGAGACCACAGTGCAGAGGAGAAGATCCGCAGGTGGTTTTGGACATTCAGACTTTGTATAGTTAAAATACCTCATTGCCTCTGGAAAGCGTGAGCATTTTTTTTCCTCTGGCTTTTGTACTTAAATCATGTTTTATTTCACTAGAACTCATCATGCAATTTGTGTAGCACTGCTAGCCTTAGGCATTTAAATATTAAATACAATTGAATTTTTTTCAAGTGCTGTCTCGATTTCTCCCTCTTACTGAGTGAATTATTTGGATGATACGATACCTGGAGAAGAATAATGAAGGACCCACTTCATCACTGAGCTTCAGAGTGTTTTCCTTTTCTTCTTGGTAGGAGTAGGGGCAGGTAAAGTTTTTGATATGAAGCCTTGACAAAGCCATTCAGGTAACTCTGTCAGAACGTGGATTCTGAGAGGTGTACATGTGTCATTACAATTAGTTTTAGTGCTGAAGTGTAATGCTAGAGTGTGGTAGGAACTGGAGCTGCGGTAGCTCCTCTTACAGAGTCACAAATACTCTGAATTCAGTTCAGGTTTTTCTGTTTCAGCTTTGGAGACTGAAAGTTTAAAAGAAATGCTTATTTTGAAAAATTAATTTTCAAACCCGAAAGTATTTAGCTTCAATCTACCTATAAATTACTAGGAATGAGTGCCTGCTTTTAGAGGTTTTCTAATTACATACTTTTCCAGGTAAGGTAATATGAGATTAAATTAATACTTAGAATCTCAGGACTATGAATAATATGCTTTCAAGTAGAGGGAGGGAATGTTTATTTGTTGGGGTTTTTTTAGCTAGAAAATGGTGGATACTTAAAGATTTGTAAAATTGAGATGGACTGGTGACTAGAATTTACTTGGTGTATAGTAAGTGCTTATTACTTTTCAAGGTGAATGATACCTTCTAGATTGAGCTGTTTTACAAGATCATTGGTACAGATATATTCTGTGGAAAAATTGTATTGGTGCCTTGCTAAACTTGATTTGCATCAGAGAAATTGCTCTAAATGCTTAAAACCAAACCAAAGCTAGAACACAATAAAATCTTTATTCTCTTAAACCTCTTGTTAGGGAACACAGATGTTATTGTGAGGGAAAGACTTGAAGCACCTGTTCATTTAGCCCTTCAGTTTTAATTTGCATTTGATGCTGTAGTTTCTAATAGTTATCTTGATAGTCCAAATAATCACTCAGATGAAAAAGGTGATAGCAACAGTAACCAATGCATAACAGGTAACGTACATAATGGAATAATTAGGGATTAGCAGACAACCCCTTAATATTTGCAGCCTAATCCTATGCATACCAAACTCATACTTGATCTCCATTTTCCTATATCACTCAATTTTTACCCTTAGGCCTTCATCTTCATTTCCTATAGTTCTACTCCATTAAGTAGATCATGTTGAAATAGCCAGTTCCATTTGTCAGTCCTTTCTTCTGGTCCAAGGGTAATATTTCTCATGCCCTTCTTCCTTTTGTGTCTCTTCAGTGAAGTTTATCATTCCATATCATACATTGGGCCAGAATCAGACGTGTTATTAAACAGTAAAATGTAACTAGTTCTGAGCACTAAATAAGACCACTTGTTTCATCTTCCTTTCTGGACTAGGTTGGGAGTTATACTTAGCCCAGTCAAACTTTTGCTTGCAGAAGATTAATTTGTTTTCCATAGCATATTGCAGAGTATTTTTACTTTTTTCACAGGCTGATATGTAAGGGATTAGACCTAAGGGATCTAAACACTGCATTGTTTGGCATTAAACTTTGAGGCTCCAAATAAAATTTAATCCAGAAATTTTAGGATTCTTGGAACATTGGGATTAGATTTTATTTTGAAAACAGAGCTGGGAAGAGCACTGAACAAGTGGGAAGTTGCTGCTTTGTCCCTTCTGAAATGCAGCCAGAGGAAGCATTGCTGCTGCAGTGGTTTTGTACAATAAATCTTTGGCTGAGCACTTCCCCAGGGTGTGTGGAATATAATTGCCACTGGTCTTTGAGAAGAATCACAGTCAGTTCTTCACCTGTAGCAGGACTTTTAACCTCCAGCTAATTCCAAGCTCTGGGAAAAGGAGTTGTGCTCACTGGGCATTCTGGTGTCTCAGGAGAAGTTCATGGAGAGCTTGTGGAAGTCCTTCAATTTATTGCCTAGTGATCTCTGAGCAAGAGAAAGTCCCAGGTTCTGCTCCCTACTCTCTGGGCAGTTCCATGTGTTTTGGATGTGCATAATAACTAGATAAAATACATCACAGGTCATAGGAACCCATGGAGGGAGTTTCCAAATCTCTAATCTTCAGCTACCTTTTGGTAAGACGCCTTGTTTTATTTAGAATATAGACACTGGTCTTTTAGAAGACAAATAAGTTTTGACTTTCTTGTTGCTGTTTAATTTGTCCTTTAGCCAACATGCTGAGGAGGTGCATACTGCTAATGAAACACTTATGTGGAACTATCTTTACAAAACCAGCTCTCTCAACATCTGGATTTAAAAAAAAAATAAAAAAAAATTAAAAAAAAAAATGAAGGACTTGATGATCTCAGAGGTCCTTTCCAACCCGGCTGATTTTATGATTCTATGATTCTATGATTTTGGGGCCCATTCTGCTAAAATTTATTACAGATCTAGACCAAGGTCTTCTGCTGTAGTTTCTCTAAGGGACCTCTCAGTGCTCTAGAGCAAGGAACTAGAGCTTCCAGTCAGCTTCTGTCATCTCCTGAAGTACATAAAATTCCCATATGTACTTTATGATTCACTTTTAGGTGAATATCAAGTGTTTATCTTGCCTGCACGTTCTGAGCATGAAATAGTAGATGACTTATCCCATGGTGTAGATTAACACAGCATTTGAACAGGAAAGTAAGTTCCCATCTTGAGAAAGTGCTGTGAGCAGTAGGATAAGTCATGCCCACCATGAGGCATGTAATTCCAGGAATGACCTCAGATAAGATTTATCTTATTGCATCATATAAAGCACCTTTCATGGTCCCAAGAGAAGAGTTGTTCTTGAGTTTTTTTTTCCTAGAAACTGAAATCTTTTTTATCACCAAACTAAAAATGTCAGTTTTAGATTAGATACTAGGAAGAAAATCTTCACTGTGAGAGTGGTGAGGCACTGGCACAGGTTGCCCAGGGAAGCTGTGGATGCCCCATCCCTGGAAGTGTTCAAGGATGGGGCTTTGAGCAACTTGGTCTACTGGAAGGTGTCCCTGCCCATGGCAGGAGGGTCAGAATGAGATGATCATTAAGGTCACTTCCAAACCATTCTATGATGACTCTATGAAGACGTTTTACACTTTTTATTGTAATCTTGAACAGAAAAATACTTAAACCTGCATAATGAGGAAGTCCCAGTGGACTCTGGCACCCCTCTGTATGTAAACCAAGTGTCTGTGTTACTGACTTTAACCATTAAGATTATTCACTACTGGGAGTATAAAGAAAGATGCTCAGATCAAGAGAGCAGCCCCAAGCACCAGCCTCCTTCCCCAGCCCTCCTCAGGTCACATAGTGCTTCCTCTGCTGCCCGGTTTCAGCCAGGGGAGCTATCCACATCTCTGGGTGCTTGGGCTTATCTTGGGGCTGCAGGTCCTACTCTGCCAACTGGAAGCTTGACTACATGTCACAGAAAGCCAAAATCTTTCTGGCTTTAGAACTAAGTGTTTTCCTACAGAACCACAGAGTGGTTGGGGTTTAAAGGGGCCTCTGGAGATCATCTTGTCCAACCCCCCTGCTACACCAACCAAAACACAGCTGGTGTCATGTTCACTTGATGGTATCAGTGCTTGAATTACTTTAATATAGTAATTCACACATTGTAATTCAAAAGGGATGCTGTGCTTTTTTCTCTGGTACAGTGCCTGTCAGCAAGCATCAAAGCACTGAGCATGACTGCTTTCCCCATCCTCAGATGCTCCTGGCATAACTCCAAACCATCTGCAATGGAATGCTGGGGGTTTTCTCATTGATTAACATAAACTGCTGTTCTTGTACACTAAAAGAAAGCAAGACTCCCTGAGAGGTTATTGTGATCGCTAATAGCTAAAAGCAGCCTGGCTTTGTCAGTCTAAAAAGGATTTTGAGTTGCTAAAATGCACTGCTCAGCCTCTGCATTGTTTCTGGGTGGAAGTTATGGTCCCATCCAGAAGTACTATTCCATAACTAGCCATTGCAGTATGAGATGGTACATACTAAACATCATTCAGCAGCGTTTGGCTGCTGGTTGAACAGAGAAATTAGCTTTTATTGTGAGCTTGCAGAGCACACACGCCACTAGTCCTGGTTTGAATGCTGCGCTGTTGCATCAGCCCAGGTAACTCCTGAGCTGAGGGTGGCCCCTGCCACCACAACTGGTGCAGGTCAGGTCCTCCTGGCACAGCTCTGAGGCACAAGTTGAGTACCCAGCCCAGCTTTGAAAGCCTTTGATCAGTGGCATTTAGTGACAGGCAGAGCTCTGCCAGCGTGGCAGGTACTCCTTTGGCTGTGAAATAGCCTTAGCAGCAGACATTAGTGTGTAAAAGAGAAGTCTGCTCTATGCTACTTATAAATAAAAATGTATGTAATTGATTCAGCAGCAGCTCTAAGCCCTTGAAGGCTCTTATTTTCTTTTAGAGTCCTTCCAGTGGTGCAACCACAGCATCCCTGTTGCAATACCAGCACCTCAGGTCACTTGCAGACACCCAGCTTCTACAGCTCTTTCTAGGAAAGGGGCGCTGGTTTTCCAGAAAAGCGACAGCTGCAGTATGGAAATTGGTGGAAACTGATTTCCAGTTTAATGTCAGTCCCTCTAATTGGTTAGCATTGCAGAAAATACGTTCCTGATTGCAGTTTCCAGTGCTATATTTAGTAGCCTGTTCCACATGCTGGTTACGGCGCCTTCCCTGAGCCTGCCCATATTTCCAGGGACATTCCATGGCTTGTGTCACCCCCCACTTTCACTGGTGGAATTCAGGTGCATTTTTATTTATCATGCATACACACATCCATAGCACCTCCAGTGGAAAGGGCCTTGTCATTTGTTCCCAGACTTTTCCTCATTGGCAATATCCCAGGAACCAAGCTGACTTGTCCGTTCCCTCCCAGCATGACAAGATTTCCCTTTTTAGGGTGGGAAAGGTGGCTGCTGGAGGGAATGGTCACACACGACAGGGTGGCCCTCTGTGTCGAGGGGTGGGTGTCACAGCAAGTGCACCTCAGCATGATGCCTGTAGAACAGTGAAAGCAAAGTCCAGGGGGAAAAAATAGAAATTTCAGGTTTCACCTGAGCCCAGAGCTTCCTCTTCACCAAAACAGCCTGCACACGTGAGCGCTGCACTTCAGTCACACTCACCTTCCTTCACTTCAGAAATGGAAATAACCTGGTGTTTTGAAGAGGAATGATAGATGCCAACGTGACTCCTTGAAGCCAAACATCCACCTCTTGCTTGCTGTGTTGGAAATTGCTGGTCAAACCGGATCAGCCAGGAACAGGACACCAGCATCTCGCTTTTGACATGAGTTCGGGACCCTGGTTACGGACACCAAGCACTTTGTGCTCACCCTGTGTCAGCATTATTTGTGTTAAGTCAAAGACAAGGCGTTTACATCAAAAAACTTTTTTATCTTGAGTAGGCTCAGACTAATGTTGCCCTATTCCCTGATGCACAGAACAAGGCACACGAAATCCCCAGCCAGGGTTAATCACAGGGCGTAATCAGAAAGTTAATCAGGGAAGCTGATTCTGTAAGCTAATGTTCAACTAAGGGCAAAGAATTTTCTGAAGTCATTTCCCCGACAGAAGGGGCAGGAGGTGCTGGGGAGGAGGGGAAGAGGAGAAATCTTCATTCTGGTGAGAATAAGGGAACCATTTCAGGTACTTGTTTGACAACTAGCCTGTTTGGCTTTTTTTAATAGATAATATTTTATATGTTTATATTTATTTATATCTATATTTTTATTTTTCATAGATATATGGTTGGCGCAGTTCGTCCCCTGTGATGCTGGTCTGCTGGTGCTCAGGGTCAGGGCAGTCTTTACTGGGAACAAATGTCTTTCCCCTTTGCTGGCAAAAGGCAGCAAGAAGC